ATGCGCAGCAGCAAGAAGGTTTCGGTCATCCCTTGAGGGTGAGTCTAGCCCTGCTCGCCAGAAAGACCCCCCCCTTCGCTACAACCCATGTCTAAGCAAAAGCTTGTCGAGGAGCGAGGGGAAGAAGGGAGGCGGTAAATAGAAGAAAACACACGCGCATGAGGTGCACAACGTCTATCGAACCGTACATGCTACGATCTCTCTCTATCTGTCCGCACAAACGATGCAAGTGGAGAAGTAGAAAGAGCGACGTCCTTCGCGGCGATGTCGTCGCTGTGCAAAGAGTTTAGAATATCCATTTACAGAAGGACAGGCAGGCAGCAATTCGCATGAGGCCCAACTCTGGAAAGGCCCGGCACAGCGGCACTCAGCACCAATGCAACACGGCATATCTCTCTCCGCGATGGCCTAGACTCAATCACTCACACGTTTCCAATATGAGCGTGCTGTCTTGGCACTGGTGTCCGAAGCGGTGGAGAGCCTGCCCGGTCTCTCGCAGGCACCTTCCGAGCGTACGGGACACAGAAGTCATACCTCTCGCTCGCTCTCTCTCTCTCTCTCTTTCTCTCTCTCTCTCTCTGCAGTCTCCGTATGTCCCTTCTCTGGCTTCTGCAAACGAAGCTGCTGCGATGCGTAGCACACGGCACGCCTACAAGCCTACTGTTGTACTTTTCCTCAAGTAGAGGGCAGCACGCAAGCTCAGAAACAGCAGCGACTGCTAGGAACAGAGCACCTGCCACAGCCAGCACGAACGAGGTGGCCGATGGGGGGTCGCCACCAACTATCCATCTACCCCCTCTTATTTTGAAAATGAAACATTAGGGGTAGGGGGGTAGGGCCCCTCGTCACCAAGGGCGTCGTCATCAGGCGCGTGCACTTCAACCCAACGTCACAAATTTGTTTTTTTTTTGGTAACTTTTTTCGGTTGGATTTGCGTCAACGCCAATATAGGCGCCGTGGTGCGATTTCATTGGCCAAAAAAATCGAACACACTTTGTCGGACGGTCACGCCGGGGCTGTCAGGGCGGGTCCTTGATGATTGGCCCGAGCAACGGTTTCTCCTCGCGCTGATTGCTTTATGATGGCAGCTGTGCTTGATTTTTCGCCAACGGATAAAGAGTGGACCCTAGTATGTTTTGGTTTCTCGTAGCCCCCTCCTGCTGCGCTCGCCGCCACGCCACACGACACATCTGATCTACCCTCACTGACCTGCCTATCACACGCGACCGCACCAACCGCCGTGCAACGAGAGAAGGCGCGAAAAGATAAAGCAACAACGAAAGAAGCTCCCACGACATCAGAGAGAGAGAGAGACTGCAGCGATTTTTCATCAAAGCGGAAAAGGACAATGTCCCAAACAGGCATGGTTACACGACCGCGAGGAGACGTGCGCCGTGGAAGGAATATGAGGCCACGCGCTTGCTTGACGATTGTGATAATGCTCTTGCTGAGCCTCCACGGAAGAGCTGCGCGGATCGCGCCCCCCTTCTCCGCTCAGCACGCTAAGCAAGTCCTGGCGTCCGCATCAGCCAGGTACACGTCGTTTTGTTCTTACTTCCCGAGATTTTGGTGTGTGCTGGTTCGGGCGGCCAGATCATTTAACACCCCGCCCCGCGGCCCTATAGATGCCCCCGGCCCTAGAAACTCTCTTCATGGTCATCATACTCCTCCCCAGCAAGTTTTGGTGGCCGTAGGGCGAATAAGATCGGCTGGGGGTTAGGCTTTGTGGGAAAAACTATATTATTACATGCCGAAAATGACGAGGAACAATTCTCGGCTTTTCCAGATGACTTGATTGCCGAAAGTAGGCGGTCGGTTGAAAACGTCGCCAAGGGTAACGAGAACGGGCTTCCTTCCCTGACACCAGCCTCTTGGGTGATCTCCTTGACGAACGCGTAGCAGCGTGTTGCATGCTGCCCGAGGGTCTTGGAGGTGAAGCGGGGGGGGGTGGAGAGATTTGGGGAACCACGAGTCCTGTCCTTCTCCCTCTAGATGTCATATGACGGACGTTCTTGTTGACAGTACTTGGGCCCTTTCGGGCGAAATCAGATCTCGGCACCAGGCAACACAGACAGTGGCTCTCATAAAGTCGCTCCGTCACATGATCTTGATGGGGCATGCAAATCACTTCGCGTACATGTACGTAACCGGCATCACACCGTTCCTAGGGACCGAATAGAAACGTGTCCCTGTCCTCTACTTCACCACGCACCAATATATGCCACCATTTCTCGTCGTTGTCTTGTGTCCCTGCCCGTAGTTTGCTTGTACTTCGACCTTGTTCGACGCTGTTCGGCCTTGGGAGTCTTGGAATTGAACAAGCACTTGTTTCTCTTGGGCGTCTCTCCTTGAAGCAGGGGTTGGTCTTGTTGCCCCCTGATATGTCTAGCGCACCGTCACGCGTCTTGTGTATGCATACGTTATGGTCGCGTATGGGAGAACCCTGTGCAGATCCATGTCTACATTCGCCGCCCTTTCCCAGCGTCGTACGTGGGTACTGCTGTATCTTGTATTTCGCGCCTGACTAAGCATGTCTTAAATGCTGTCGGAATACGGAACGATCAACCGTGCACAGTCCGTGGCCACGCTATTATTGATGTTGGTATCCTGCAACCCTTTTCCCAAAACAAGCTCATCTGTGTCTCTGGTGTGGTATGTAAGGCTTATCTGTTGCAAGACACACATCTTTTGCCCTTCGCGTGTGTTGCTGTGCCAACAGCAGGAGAGAAGTTGGAAAGAATTCAATTATGAAAAGCGTCGACCGATATCCATTGATCCTCTCGTGTTGAATATTCCCCCCCCCCGCGGTTAGACCCCCCCCCCCGATATGTTTGCCATCGGGGTTGGGTTTTCGTCGCTTGGCAACGACGTTGTAAAACAAGCCAATTCACTTCGTGAACTCGGCAACCAGGTTACCG